TTAAGGGATTCTCTTCTACAACTAGTCAACAAAGCAGAAGTAAATACGTAAACCAGACAGGCATCACTTAGTCATATAGAACATTTAACAAGAAAGAAAATACTCACTGAGGGAGAACAGAGTAGACTAACAGATCCTTGATAAAGATAAATGGTGAAAAAAGTTGAGATGGTAACACTTAACTAAAATTATAGTCATACAACTGGTCAAATTGGATGTCAATTTAATACAACAAAAAATTAAATCTTTCAAAATATATTTAAACTGCAGGGTGGTGTTGATTCTCTAGGTTGAAATGAGAGGCATATGAGAGGCAAGTGAAAATTGACGTGCTGTCAACTAAATTTGCGGTTTACGCATTTGAAACGGCAATCAGGACATCCTGTGTGTAAAATGTTTCAATTGATTTAATAGAGGCTTGGTTCAAAAAGACAATTTCCTAAATTGTTATTGTAATGTTATTTTTTGTTTTTAATTGTTAATTTAGCAATTATTTAAGTATTTTATTTTGTTGTACTTAGTATAATATATTTTAGAAAGCATAATTCAGGGAATATAAATCGTAATTTCGACGTAAGATAAAAGACTTATTTGGCTAGATGTTTTGTATAAACGTTATCGGACAAATTAATTGGATTTATTTACTAACAACGCCATGTGCGAAATAACGAAGGGAAACTGCGTGTGAGCCTGCACCAATGGCCTTCCAGCTGTAGACGACGCAATATATTAATATTATATATCGAAGAGTCATAAGAATTGTAGGAATGAGAATAAATAACTTTTTTAATGTCTGTGCTTTCTCGGCTGCATAACTCCTACTGTACAATGGAAATTATATTTATGAATTTAACAAAAGGTTACAACATTAACATATTGCAAATAAAATTGTTAAAAAAAACTGTATACTTAAAATATCAAAAATTTCATTAAATGCTGTCTGTGGCGGTAGAGTGCCTAAAATACAAGCTGCATTTCTCTACTGAACAGCTAAACTGAATGTTTGTTTTAAAAATACAAAACAACGATTTTCTTGTGTTTTTTCAAAAATTTTTTTACTAATTTCTGAAGTGATTTTTTTGGCAGATGGGCCCCAAGCGCCAAGTGTTTCTATACCGAAAGGGTAGAAAATAAAATGGTCTAGTAGATTACTACAGTTACTACTGTACTAGTCTTACGTAAAAAAAAGTATAGAACCATTTTTGTAGTAGGGTTTGTTATCTTTAAGTTTTGCCTCAAGAACTTTTCGCTACGAATAACAGTTACTGAGATGCAAGCGAGAAACTCAAAAAGGCCCCTATAAAAGCCCCCTCCCCCACCTTCCTCGAACTCGCCTCCCGATTAATAAATACTTTTTATTTTCTCGCAGAGGTTGGTACCCATATGAAATATAGGTTCCGGTTCCTCACTATGTAGGTAAAATTATTTTTTAAGGGTTCCGGTACAGGTTCCTGCTTCTGTGGCTTCGATAATTTTCGGTTCCGGTTCCATTATTTTTTGGGTTTTTAAGTAAATAAATAAAATCATTATTAAAAGATATAAATTATTATTAATTATATAAAATAAATAATTCACAAAATTAAAATATATTGTTCTTTTGCATAAACATATTATTTAAGTCTAATTGAAACTTATTTTTAGTTTACCTCTTTTCTACTTTTCCTTTTCTTCAGGAGTAGTTTCAACTATTGCTTCCCTAGCTCCTAAACTCTTCAACCATTGTACTGTTTTTGATCCATTTTCGGTATTGGTCACCCTAAAATATTTTTACTTATTTAATATTAAGGTTAAGTCGATTGAAATTAGTGAGAAACTGAATAAAAGTGAAAAATTGGATTTGGACCAACACTTCAGAAGCATATTTTAAGAGTCACACGTGTCTACTCTACCTACAAGCGCTGAGTGAAATTGTATTGAACGCTACAGAGAGAACCGAAAAATAACTGTTCTTTTGCACTAATAATAACGGTACACACTCACTCACTCAGACGGAAGAGAATAGAACCCACAATTTGTATGTATCAACACTAGGTTCAGCGGTAAGCGGAAATTTGGGGCGAGGCGAAGCTTTTAACTTAAATGATAAGATGTAGTCACATCTTTTCGGCACGCAACAAGTACCACATTGTAATTTTTTTGTCTTTTAATTCCCCACAGTGGAAGATTACCTATGCTGATTTACCTCTCGAAAATCTAGATATAGAAATTGTTTTCTACCAATAAAGCTCTAGATTTCTATTCTGAAATACCTATGGAAGTAAACGTGACTGTGAAAACAACGAGTTTTTGTTTCCCTTGCGAAAGATCTTTGCATCTGAAAAATAAATACTTTGTTTTTAATGTTAAAATGTTCAGATCGTCATCGACTAACCAGTTTGCAATTAGTTTGAAGTTTGGAAAAACGATTTCGTAATTAAAATTAACTACACTTTGAAGTTACAGGTACTAATATCAATTACACCGCCGTCTAATGAAATTGCTTATTATTATTTTAGAAGTTTGTTCATTAAGTTCGTACTTAGGGGAAGTCAAGAACAAAATAATGTAACAGTTTCGCTCTATTAAGACGGGCGGCGATTGATCATTGAAGTGGCTCTGATGAATCGGAAACTGAAATTATTGCTTTGCAAGTGAACATTAAAATTGAGAAGAAGTAAGGGCAGTAATGAAGTTAAACACAATAGTGATATTCTCCGATAAAAGCCATTTTATCGTCTCATGTTCCATTTTTCCTTGTGTAGCAGTTAAGAATGCAGTCCATAAATTAGGAAGAGCTTTTGGGACGTTCATATATTCTTCATGTGCTTTACGCTTGAAACAACAATATTAGGTCAAACTCATTTTTAAATACGATGATAAAGATGTTTATGGCCTAAAACTAACGAGTTTTAAAGAAGTTAAAACTTTTAAAGTATTTTATAAGCAACACGCTCCCACGAATATTAATTCTCCCTAGTTAACCATTACAGTATGACGAACCGGAAAATGTGATTCCTAGGGCATATTTATTATATCAGAAATATTCTCCACTAGAAATCGATAAAAGTAATAATGGAATATATGCACATGTTTCAGTCCATCACACTGACTTTTCATAGAATATTCAATAAGCGCATTCGAAACGAAGTGATTTTAGAAAGATTGATGTGATCTGTATTATGTAAAAGGAACTACCGTTGGTGAAATTGTATATTGAAACTTTTTTACTCAAAAAAAGTTTACCTATTTGACTCGTTAGTACGATTCTAGTAGATTTGAAAGCAATATTGATAAAACTATTAACTTACTTCCGTTAAATTAAATTCGTAACCGTTTACGAACTAATGGTTATATAAACATCATTTAGCACACAAACTGACGCTATTAATTTATATTTAACTTGCGCCGTTTCCAGGATTTCATTAATCTACTCGGCTTTCGGTCTGTTATTTAAAGTTTCAAATATACCTCAAGCATTATTTCACTTTTTATGTGAGACCGCAGTATAAGACACATTATAAATATTTTAACCTTTTATTTTCTACTTTCAGATTCAACTTTATGGTTTTAATAAAGACTTATATCACAATATGTCCGAAGCGCAGCATAAAACGCAAGGAATTGTGGGCATTTCGCTTATGGTACAGGTAAGATCTTCCATGTTTTAAACTGTTAGTCATTCTTAGTCGTGGGAAAATATGGTTTAATAATAATGCACGATAATCAATATGAAAGAACTTTACGGTGTGACAAATTGCTAAAATATATTTCTTTTCCACTCCTTGGGGACTCTCTTTCTTTCACATATTGTTTTATTGCATCTGTTAAAAATCATCCTTTTTTATGTAGGGATTATACGTACAGCTCTGGGCATCTGCTTATAGATAACGTGATAGTGAGTGGCTCAAAAAGTGGCAGATGATATTGTTTTTTCTTACGAGTAACTAACTCCTAACATTTTCAGATTTGTACCAATTCTTATAGCTTATAATAAACTCAAGAAATGGAGAGAGTGAAATGTAATTAAATACGTTAATTACAAAAACAATCAAATCCAAATTGAAATTAGGGTTGCCGTCTCTTAATTACACGGGAATAGCTCTAGGGACTGCGCTGGTTACAAGGAAGGAAAAATGAGCTAAAAACTTATAGTTTATGTGATGTTTAATGAATGATATTAAAAATATTACAAATAGTAGACTGTAATATATAGATCTGAAATGTTAACATTTAAATTTAAATTAATTCTTAGTAGAAAAGGGGATCAACACGTAGTCAGACTAAATATTAATATCAAAACAGGCTTCCGCAGAAAACAACGGGGATATAATCGTTAAGTGAATATCAAGCAGATGTAACAATTACAATTCAATTGTATAGAAAACCAGTATGTAATCGAACGTTATCTCAAGGAGTCGACGAAATAAAAAATTACCTTTTGAACTATAGGTCGCAACGGTCTTGTTGTACGTTATGTACGTTTAATAAAATCTCGGTATAGTAGAGGGTTTTCCAGTAGCCCCCGGACGGAGCTATAAGTTTCAAACGCGTGAAAAAATATTTTTGGAAACTTTGATACACTGAGTTTTTTTAGGGGGTGATAACCCAAAAACCGGCCCAAAAATTTTCAAATTGCAAAACCTGTCGAGTTTTACCTTTTTGAAAATCACCCCCTAATAAAAATCCCCAGTGTATAATGACAGCTTTAAACTATCTAAAATGAAGTTTTTATGACACTTTATTGATCCCGAAATTTTCAGATTTTTTTCTTCACTCGTGTAAAACCAATAGGAAAGGAAATTAATATATTTGTGAAAGTTAAGCGCACTTCTAATGAAACTCACGACTTAATCGGATGTTGTTAACTGCAACTCATAGGCGAGATGAAATTTATAAATTCATACTTCTCTTAACCCCGTTGGTAAAGTCTCTTATTAGTGTACACTGTTAGTTGAAAATTTTGGTAAAAAGTTTCAGTATGTGACACCAGGATGAGATTTTTTCTCCGTTTCCTCATGAAAGTACCTTGAAATTGACACCGGGAGACACTCCCAGACGTGATTGTCGCCCGTAATGACGTCATAATTCTGGAACTGTTGCCGTCACCTTTGTTTCGTTATCTCAGGAACCGCTGCTCGGATTCTCATTATCGAAGCATCGTTGTATCGGTAATTAAATTATCTCAATAGTTTATAAGAGAAGCTTTTGTCGAAAAGTGCATGGTTTACAAGATATCGGATTTCTAACGGGAATCTGTGAACAAGTGCTCCATTTGTTGTTCTCCGTGCTATATTAAATTGCCGGTTCTACGGAATCCACGCAGGTTAAATACTGGTACATCGTAATGCAATTGGAACCGCATCTACTGCTGTATATTAGAAGTAACAAGCACATTTCCTCAAACTTGTGAGCACATTGCGGGCATGACCTTGCCGTTTTAATGCTCGTTTTCATATACCATTGGAAACTAAAACCTGCTAATAATGACTTAATGGAACTGAAATTCTGAAATATTAATTCGCCTCGTCTTAATGACAAGAGCTTTCGGACGCAACGAAGATAATTAAAATATCTTGACGGGAACGGTTACAAACGGCAAATTAATTATAGCTTTTGTTTACAGTAGCAGCGGCTAAAACACAACTCTGAAATTAAATCAATTACTTTTAACTTCTATCTTCAAGTCCTAGAACTAACAAATACTTTCGACGCGACACTTTTCGTAACGAAGTGCCTCCAGATACCGGGTGGTCATAAAAGTATGTATACTTCAAGGTAGAAAATAGGTGCTTCGTTACAATGGAATAGAGCGAGAGGGAGAGCAAATTCATTTTTTATATTGGTACTTTCATTTTTTATTTTCAAAAGACCTCGTCATTCTGAAAAATACAGATATCACCAAAAAAAATTGATTTTAATGTGTGTTCGTATCAGGTATTTTTTTTCGTTAATCTGTAATCAAAATATTGCTTTTTTTGCATTTAAAAACGTGAAAATGAAAGAACGGTCTTTGATTGGCCCAATAGGCCGCTATATCATTATTATTTATAGAAAGCGTTTGGTTTTTTTTTATGACAATCTAATTCTCTCTTACTTTTTACTATTTACTAGTTTAACTAGACAAATATGACGCGCCTTATTTTCAAGTATATGTGCAGCAGCCCTATCAGACGCTCGACAGAACGAAAGTTGAATATATACATATACATCTGACGTAGGACGTAGGTATATAACGGCGAACAAAAAAGCGGCATAAAAGTATCCGCACGATATGCTAAAGAATTAAGGTAGCAAAAAAGGTAGATAAAGGAGGTAAGCGAAAAGAAGAAATAAAGGAAAAACTCAAGGCAATTTACAAACCAATAAGATGATGAACAGTACCTCAAGAAAATTCGTAATATAATAAATATAATATAATAGAATGGCAAAACTAAACCAAAAAAAAATAAATAATAATTTCTGAAAACATCTTTGAAGCTTTTAGGGTATAGTTTTCACGATCTCTAACGGTTGCTCGCTTTGCAGTTTAAATTACATATGTACCGCTTCATACGGAGCGTGAGCGCGAGTAGGTGCAGCGACCAACGTGCGCGTTTCAAAGAAAGCTTGGGTCAATGCCACGATAACCGAGACCTCTTCAATTTCCTTGGTTCTATTGACCTAATGGAGGCGGGTGTAGGGCGGTAAATTTGTGCTCTCGAATTGGAAAAAATGGCCTTGGTCACAACTATTTCGTTGGTTCCGTTTCAGAGCTATTACTCGGCATTTTCGCATGGAACATTTATGAACCGTCTTTGGATCTGAATTGGAGTGTGGCCGAGGTAAATAAATGTTCATTGTCCCAAAAACTGTCTATACATTATACGAGAGCAAATCACAAAAGTTCAACTGTATTCGCCAGATCCAGTTTGCGTTTCTTATGTAGGAAACTAAAAGTCGTTTTTTGTAAAGTGACATACATTTCACGTAACATAGAAAAATGTTTGTCAATACAGTACTAAGGAATCAATGTTATTTAGTACGAACGATGGTTTTCCACCCTTGTCTTCTAACTTGCCGTTACAAATCGGAGATTCGTTATAGCATAATGTTTATGCCAACTGTTTGCTTTAAAGCCCTATACAGGGATATTTATTAAGAAGTAGACATTGTGTATTGTTTTTCCCTATGTGCACTTTTAAATGACAAAACCTCTTCTGAAGGGCGCCTAATTTTATGCATCCAAAATAACTTCTTTAAACAAATGAAGCTCTGGCTGCCATATTAATTACTTTGAATATTGTTGTTTTGGCTTCTGTATCTTTATTTGACGTGTGGGAAGACAAAGTTGATATTGCCCTTCAGAAGAGATTTTGTCTATTAAAAGTATACATAGGAAAAAACAATACACCTACATCCCCATGCCTTTCTTAATAAATATAACGAGGATACACTTCATTTAAAAGGACAATAATAATTGGAAAATCTTGGTCTATCCAATTGGATCAATATTCTCGTGACAATGGGGAATGGCTGAATTATCAGTGCCTAACGTTTTATATATCGTCTTCAAAATGCAAAGACTCGTCAATAGTGCCGTTTTGTTTTGGTTAGTTAAAATAATTTTTTTTTTGTTTAAATTGAATATCACCAACTGTAAGATCACCGATAGTATTGTCTCCTCTACTTTCATCAGCAGACGTTGATACAAATAAGGACAACAGCGCGCAAAAATGTAAATTAGCATGTGAAAGCAACGTGACTTGCTTCCTATAAAACGCTCTACTTTTATCTTACGCAAGCATACACGTTCTGTAAAGGACCTTTAGACAGCATTGTCTTTAAGGGAACATTTCGGCTTTCAAATCAAGAAAGGCAGAATAACGTTAAATGTTGAAAATGCCAAATTTAATCTACCTATCAATTCGTTCCCCAGAAATCTAATAAAGCGCGCTTTTTGCGCACGTCATCAGGTGGGTAATACGTTTATGCCTATCAACGATTAGGTCACAAAGCTTCGTTTGCAAGACGCAAACCCCATAAAGTTTTTTAGTGCATTTATCAATGTTTGGATTGAAAAAGAGATTAGTTCTCTAGAGCTGTTGCACTTTGCATACTTGCACGAACTTTTCCCATTATTAATATTGCAGCACGCGCATTTCCCTCGGTAGATTTAACGCCATGCATTTTTATTAGACGTTTTTAATGGAAGGGAAATTGATAAACCTCAATCTTAAGAATATAATGGGGGTTAATATTTGCATATTTTGATATTATTTGCACTACTAAAACAAGTAAATAAATCAACTCGTAACAAATAGCGCAAATGAGCTCATGCGTCAGTGAAAATTTAATCAGTTCTTCCTTAAGTGATGATAAACACAATACTGAAATTAGAATTGGAAAAATCCGAACCGTTGGCGAGTTATCATGTGCACAGACGGACGGAGAGAGAGTCCAAAATCATGAACGAGCCGGATCGCTCAATAATAAATAGACGGTTTAACTTCTTGGGGCGCAATTGTCTAAGGTTCATTAACAATAGTGACGTCCCCATTATGAAAAACATTTTGAAGGCACAACTGTCCCTCTTAATTACCCTGGACGCAATTGACCTGAGCGCAAGTGTCCATGATTGAATAATCGCTACCGACATTAAAAAAAGTAG